TTCAGAGTTTTCTTTTGAGGATGATGTATCTAATTCATAAATGATATTGCATTCACTGCTTAAATCTTTAAAATATTCAATTGGTTTTATATCACTATCATTTTGAAATTCTTCATATATTCGAAGAGTTTTTATATTTTCTTTATCTTTCTTTTTAGGATATTGAGGGGCAATGTGTCCTTCATCGCAGATAAAACATCTACATTTCTTAATATATTTTGGTTTAGGCTTTTTAATCCAATTTCTTTTCTTGAAATATTTTTTATGCGGTTTGAAAAATCTTTTCCTAAACTTCTTATTGTTTTTTATTTTTCTTTTATATATCTTATATGACTTATATTTATTTTTGTGACATCCAAATTGTTCAATTTGTCATATATCTTTGTAGCAACACAAAGAGTTTCTTCCCATCTTGTATGCTTTCTTACTTTCTAAGGTTTCTCTACACCAGATGCTTACTATTCTTTTTGTAAATTCAATCATACATCCAAGACTATCTTTATTCACATCTTCTTCTTCTCCAATAGGTAATAATTTCTCATATTCTTTAAATAATTTTATTTCTCATGTGAATGGTAACTTCATGAAATAAGATCTTAGTATAGGATTATTTTCTTGATAATTTCCTTGGTTTAATATATAATATATCTTTTCGAATTTACATGTATATCTTTTTAGTTCACACATCATGTATTTTTAAATTTTCCATAGCTATCATCCCTTCATTATATTCTTCTTGCTTTCTAGTTTCTTCATCAACTGTGAATCTGTGTCATAAGAATTCTGTTCTCAAGGCTCTTTCAAACCTTCTTAATATTTCTTCTATATTTTGCTCATTCAAAGTATTTCTATTATCTAATGCTTCAATTGTATTTTCTCCATATTTTATTCTTCTTTTTATATTTTCTGATAGCTTTCTTCACTATTCAAATATAATTTCTCTGAATGTATGTTCTATAAATTCAAAGGCTGTATATGTTTCCTATTTGTTAAATTATATAGTTAAGTCTGTACTTTTCATCCATATTTCAATGGTTTTATCCTTATCTACACAATCAAGATCTAACAATATCCTTGTTGTGTGCATTGGTTCATTGTAAGATTTCATTGGATTTATTTCTTTTATGGATTGTTTTCTTATATTTTCAGTGTATTTTTTCTGTGTTTTTTTATATTGATTAACACCATCTTTATTAGGTATTGGTGTACCATAAGCACATTCACATTCTTCATCACTACTAAATTCTGTTTTTATATTATGACTAGTTGATGGATTTGTATTCATTTTTGTAATTTCCATTTTTTAGTAAACTCATTTAACTGTTTTTATATTCATTATATTTTACACCAGTAGATTCTAAGAAATGTTGTTCTAATTATTCAACATCTGTAATCATATATTATTTTATTTCATGATTTTTTTCCTTTATCTTTATGTATTATCTTGTAATTTTGAAGTGGATTAATTATAATCTTATCTTTTCCCTTAAGATTTTTATTTAAAAGAGCATTTTTCATTTGTATATTATATTCTAGTTTTTTCAATTTTTTGTGTATATTCTCAAAATTTTCATTTGTACTATTTTTAGGTAAATAAGGATAACTAGGTTTCTTATTTTTTCAACTTTTTTCAAAAATTCTTCAATTATGTTTTTTTCGTCAATTATATTCATCATTATTTTAGGTTCGTAACATGGCTCTGATACCATTTTTGGAGTGTGCGTGTGGAATTATATTCTATTTCTTAGAGCGTGCAATTTTTGAAATCTTTAAACATTATTGGTATTTTCTAAATATTTTATTATATGTTCATTGTTATTTTATGATTTATGAGAATGATATAAAATCTAATAGTTAATCTATATCTTAACATTTTATATGCATTACACATTTTATGGAATTCAGGTTTCCTCATTTATAATTAAAATATACTTAAATAATATCTAGAATTAATTCTATCAAAGATTTTGGGTTCATAATTTTTTTGGACTTAATTGAAGTCTTTATATTTTTATAGTGGCTTTGGTTGCAAATTCTATGTAAGAGGGTATTTTGGACAGTTCAAATTTATTATACTAAAATTTTGGTCAAAGTCTATTTTTCCAAACAATCTTTGCAAATAGCCTATTCTACCTAATTTCCTCTTCGAAAATGTACTTACGAAAATGCTTTTTGATATATTTTTTTCATCCCTTATATAAACATTTTTCAATGTCCCAATGAACGATAACTAACTAGAGTAAGAAAATATCAACTCGATTCATTTTTTATAGAAATAATTCGGATTGACTTTGTGCATGTTAATTCTAATAGCTAATGAACTAATAGAAGAGCGGTTGATTGACATTTATTAAATTGAATTTTATTAGGTCAACGGGACATAATTGACAAGTTTCACATTTTGCCATTACTTATGGTTCGACTTTAATTATGCTAAGAGGATAATGGAACAAATTGTTAATTTTTAAGACGAAAAATCAAAACCTTAAAGGGATGTTCTTTTCGTGTTTCAGTTTTGAATTTTGAATTCATTTTAGATTGTTAAAAATACATTCTTTTTGTCATTTTGAAAAATTATTTTCAAAAATGAAAACACCCAAAACTTGTTCTCTCTCTTCTTCCCCTCTCTCTTTCTCTTTGTCCTCTCTCTCTGTTTTTGTGAGGTGTGCGGTGTTTTTGGGCGGTGGCGTGGTGGGCTTCTTCTGGTGCGATGGTTTTGGACGACGGCGTGGTGGGCTTCTTCTGGTGCGGCATTTTTGGGCGGTGGCGTTGCTAGCTTATTCTATTGTGGTGGTTTTCGGCAGTGGCGTGGTGAGCTTCTTCTGCTGTGGTGGCTATGACATCGTCGACGGTGGGTGAGGCGGTGCGATGACAGTGTGGTGCAGGTGATGTGTGTAGGCGGCAATGGCGGTGGTTGTTGGTGGCTTAACCAAAAACATCTAAAACGTGTTTTGAAAATTTTGGCTTGGTTATAAATAAAAATATCCAAAACGACAATTGTTTTGAGTTTTCTTTGTAAATTTTTAACTTATTTTCAAAAACACGTTTTCGAAAAAGGAAAGAGAACATTTTTTCACTGTTTTAAAAAATCGAAAACAGAAAACGATAAAGAAAACATGCCCTAATTTTTCAAAACAACCAAAATGTTTTGTATTTAACCTATGTTTGATAGAAATTTTTAATAAATCTTGATCAAGTTGATGAAAAGTGTTGTTGAAAAATTATAGGTCATATAAACTATAATTAAAATTAATTGTTAACTTTGATTTATATTTTTTTAATATTACCAACGGGGGTGCCTTAATACTATAACTTGTAAAAGAAATCAAAGTTCCAAAATAATGTGTGCTTTCAACTAAGAAAAAAATGCATTAACTATTCCTTCTTTCTTACCCAACAATGCTGAATGGAGAGAGGAGATTATGAATATCGGAAATTGACCAGAACAGTCACCCCTACCCTCAAAGCTGCATTTCTAATCCAGTTTCAAGTTATCCGCGACACAAACTCCGAATTACGGTCAACGCGAACAGTGGAGCTTAGCTATGTTGTTGGAAATTCGACTACCGCAATCAAAAGAACAAATAAAATAATAGAAAATAAAAATAGAAGAAGAAACGCGGTATGCCAAGGCAAATCTCTTTAAGACAGATTTCGCCCCCCAACAACGT